CTTTCCCTTATTTCATATGCACCCCTTAAATTTTCTTCACCCCACCTATTTTGATAAGTAATTTTAACTATTTTAATTTTACATTATTCTTTTTCCTTTTCTCTTTTAATTTTCTCGTTGATTTCACTATCCGCATAGTATTCTAGAATAGTGAAAATATATTTTTCATAACACTAAACTTAATGTTAAGGTTTTTGGAAGAATGAAAGGAAAGGAAATACTGAAAGAAAAAATGCATGTAAAAACCGAAAATCGAAAAAGAGAAAGAATGAGGTGTATAAAAAGAAAAAAATAGTAAATTGAGAGTAAAAAATGTAAAATTAAAAATATTTTAAATTTTTTTAAAAAAAAATAAAGGAAGTGTACTTATAAAAAAAAGGAGGTATATATATCATTAGCCAAAGGATAATTATCATTGAATAAAATCAAATATTCAACTTTTTTTTTAATTGAAATTCATTTAATTTTTTTTTCCACATCGGGGCCTAAGGCTTCGACATTTTAAATCAATCGATAAATAAAATCTGATTAATGATAATTTTATCAAAAATTAAATTTGAATGACAATTTAACTTTAAATTGAGTACATAAATCTCTTGTACTTAAGTTTTTGGTTTGAAATTCATTTAATTACAAAACAAGTTAAGTTACATTTTTAACTTATGTGTCGAAACATGCATGACTTGTGAGATGGGGGAGTACTTTTTTATTTTTAGTATTAATAAGAATAAATGCGATACAAGTTACTACATAGTAATCGAATTAATTATCATACAAATTATCGATAATTTATAACATAATTACCGTGAAGGCCTTCAAAGAATCTAAAATTTGAAAGACATTTTAAAAAAAACAAAATCCCAAGGGCCATAATCCAGGGTAAACAGAAGACTCAAATGTCTAGTAAGCAGATTCAAAAACCTATATAAACATATAAATCATCGAATGTAGGTAGAGTTATAGCTTAATTAATGATTGCAATCGCATTCGGCATTTTTTTTTGTCACCTATAACTTGCTTATCATCATGTATATTTTACTTGTTAAGTGCATTCATTGTTGAAATCCCGTCCTTATGGAAAAAAATAAATTAAAAAAAGTACTCTTGTTGAATAATAATTTTTTAAAGTATTATCATAATCATGATAATTATTTTAATTCTAATATTCTATCTATCCTTCCATTTATATAAATCTACTCATGTATGATATATATTGTCAAATAAAGGTGTGAAAATGAACTTGAATCGGTTAATTCAATAAATAGGATAAATTAGATTTAAAAAAATTAGGCTAAAAATCATTTTAATCTACTCCAATCTAACCCAAAATTTTACTAGCTCGTGAACCAAAATTATTTTATAATTATTAAGACAATAAATGATAAATTTAATATTATATATTGTTAATATCTATTTTAAAGCCAATATTTTATGTGTATTGAGTTTTATTTTTAATTTTTATTGTTACAATTAATATACTTTATTTTATTTCTATTATTATGCATTATATTTTAATATTTTATAGTATAAATAAAAACATATATTTTCTTATTTTAGTTTATAGTCGTTACAAAGTTTTATTAGCTTATTATACACAAATTAATTTATTTTAATTATTTTTAATTTATTTATTTTAAAAATTGATTGATTCATGGATCACCACATTTGGCCCACAACCAGTTAGGTGTTGGATTAGGTTAGAAAATCTTCAACCTAATGTCAAATTGGTCCAATCTGATGACACGAAAATGTTTTGGTCAATGATGAATTGGTTTAAATTGACAACTCCAAAGAATATTTTTTAAGTATATATTTTGCTTAAAAATAATTGTATTTTTTTAAAAAACTTCTTATCAAAAGTATTCCTTTATTATAAAATTTTGTTACATTAAAACAAATTTTATCCTATTAGTTGCAAAGCTTAAAATAAAAATTTATATAGAAAGGATTCTTAAACAAACATGTCTTAAGCTAAATCTAATGCCCATTATTAGGTGATTAAGATGAAATAACATATGATAGATAAATTATCTTATTATTATTAGTTATTTGATGCATTGACTTGATATTATACCAATTAACTTATGTTTAGGTAACGATACACTTATGTAAAAGAAAATAATGATACATTTATCTTTTTTTAATAATCTTTTTATCATATAATACAAACTATTTTATTTATATTTTTTTTATCTCTCATTATGTATTAATAGCATTTTGGATCTAAATATATTTTTTCCATGATGAAAAAGAGATATAGAAAAATAGTAAAAATATGAAAAATTATTAGGGAGTGGTGACACTTGGTGCTTAACTAGTCCAACATAAATTCATCGGAAAAAAAAAATAGTCCAACATAATATGCAATTCAGTGTTTTTTTTTTTTCCTTCTTTTCCCCACATTGCAAAAACTTAAATGTACATCTTATAATGATTTATCGAAAACACAAAACATAGATAATTGATAATCTCGCGTAATAAGCTTTGTGGCTATATACACCAATGGTGCGATCCAAATTCATGGCATGCATACAAATATATAAAAGGAGAACTATATTATTGAGAATATGAAGTAGGAGCAGAAGAAGGTGACGATGTGGATGTGCTTAATGAATCTGAATATTACGCGTCATCACATTCGGGTTTCTTGCTTCTTAAGCAAGGGTCTCACCTTAATGAATCAATCCCCATTATTCTATTTTCAATGTCCTAACCTCACTGCAATTATCTCCCTACAGATTCATTCACAACATGTCAATGCTTCATTCTTTCTTCAACAAAGCCTTTAAACCCTCCAAATGGTACATCCTCTCTCCTTCATCTGCTCAACATTTATGTGTCTTCTGTTTAATTAAGACAAGTAATTTGTAGTGTTCCATTTTCAGTGCAACGTTGCTGAAACTCACGATTCCGCGTATTAAGTTGCTGAGAAACAGAAGAGAGGTTCAGTTGAAGCAGATGCGAAGCGACATTGCTAAGCTACTTGAGGCTGGTGAAGAAGCCAAGGCTTGTGTTAAGGCATAGAATAATACCCTTCATTTCCACGTGATCTATATTGTTTAATGTTTATGTTTCAGAATTTTGAACACGTTTCTGCATGGCGGTATAGGTGGAGCATGTTATGAGAGAGGAAAACATGATGACTGCTCAAGACATCATTCAACTCTTCTGTGAACTTATTGCTGTGCGCCTTCCAATGATTCAATCACAAAGGTTAGCCAAAGAACAAAGCTACAATCACACATGACATGACACAACATCCACATGCATCGATAAAAGTCAACATATAAAAGCCTGTGTGAAAAGGCAGTGTATGGTATTGGTAAGCTATAAGAGAGAGGAAGAACGATGTATATGAATGGTCAACTTGTTATTCAATTTGTTTGTTGTAAACAGAGCTGTTATGAAGAGTTCTTAAATATATATATGTTCAAATCTTTGAGATTTGAAAAGCATTTGAAAAATCCCCCTTTTTTGTTTTATACATACAAGGGCCTCTTGGAATATAAGCATAATGAGTAAAAGGTTTGAAGAATCATAAGAAAATCATCTGCTAACACTCTGGCTGAGGACACAACACAACACATTGTTGCAGTAACTCGACATGGTTTGACTAATTATTTGTTTTAAGAAGTTAAGCTTTTTACTTGCATTTTTGAAATCCAACCATTGTTAAAAAAGAAAAAAAAAAAAGGAAAAACTATTGTTTTCTAATTATACATGTAACTCTCAATGTTGTTCAGGGAATGTCCCCTTGATTTGAAGGAGGCAATATCTAGTGTATGTTTTGCTACACCAAGATGCTCTGATCTGCCAGAGTTGTTGCAGGTTCAGTTGCTATTTGCTTCCAAATACGGAAAGGAATTTGTATCTGCAGCAACTGAGCTCACCCCTGACTGCAGTGTTAATCGCCAGGTTTAGAATTATGCATACTCTTATTTAACAGTTAAGGTCAAAAGCTATTTTATTTTATGACATATTGACATTCTCTATGTGAATTGCAATAGCAGTTAATAGAGCTGTTGTCAGTTCAAGCTCCTACACAGGAAAAGAAACTGAACCTTCTAAAAGAAATTGCTGTTGAGCATAAGTTAGACTGGGATCCAGCTGCTTTAGAAACCAAGTTCTTTAAAAAGCATGAGGACTTAATAGTAAGTATAGCATAGTACTACTATTAAGAATTTACTAGCCAGATGAAAAACATAAAATGTCTATGGTATTGTTAGTTTGTTACTTCTTTTTAATACATTGTTTTAACATGTTCTTTCCTTGTCAGAGTGGCCACAATCAATTTTGTAGTCAATGTGAGTCAAAATTGCCTCTTCCTGAAGAAAAACACAATGAAGTTGATCTTCACTCATCAAGCCATTTTGGATCACTTGGTAAAAAGGAAAGTAAACAGTTTATGCCATTCACATTACGTCCATCCATATCACCAAAATTATTTTCTAAGAGATGTGGTTATTCACCCTCCTTGTCAGGGACAAGAACTGAAGCCAATCTAGATTTGCAAGATGTGTTGGTTGCAGGTCAAACTGCTGAAAATGCAGTAGCTGAAGCTCGCTCAGAGGCTAGTAAGCTTACCAAGAAAAATAATGCACATGTGCCAGATAGCAGCTTTGAGAACCCATTCTATGCAAGTGTTGCTAATAAATCTGAAACAGAAAGGGAACATTTCACTGAACAAAATGCTGCAGATGACTGTGATGGGGGTGCCATAAATGATGTGGAACATGAGAGTGCCTTCGCATACTCTCATTCATCAAGTTTTCCTTCATTTGATACACTCAAGGAAGACTTTGGTTCTTCATCCCTACACAATCATTCTGTACTGGATGACAAATCCTCTCATTCCCAGCTTAAAAGATTGCCTTCAGTAGATGATTACACGGGTTTCTCATACCCCAACTTATTCACCTCTCAAAACTCAAATGTTGGATCTCATACATTAAAATAATAAGCATTCCAGTCATGTTGTGCCAAGCAATTTTACTACAACTACACATTTTTCCTTTCAAGTCTTTCTCATGGGTGGGTATTATACTAATGCATAAGTTATTTGGATTTTTGGTCGAAAGCAAGTGGCTATCCTTATAACTGGAATTGTGGTTGTGTTGAATTATTTTGCCGTAAGCAATTTTAAATTTGATGTGTACCACGTCACTAGGTTTGTTATTAATGATAGATGATTATTGAGTTTGGCCAATAACATATGTGTCATTTAGCATGTTATGCCAAGTATCACTTAAAGCTTGTTTGGATGCAAATTTAAAAACACTTTTGAGAATTTCTACTAAAAAAATACTTTTTATTTTTAATAAAAAAAGTTCTTAAGAACGCTTTTAATTTATATTCAATTAGACTCTTAATAAATAATCTGCTTTTCCGAATGACCGATCCGTATGAACCAGTATTGTCACATCTCGTGTTACAGGGATCAGAATAAGCAGGTGTCTATTAAAAATTGATCAAATTATATCCAGTGTCTTGTCGATGATTAATTGATTAATCAGTTAGGGAGTTGGATGAATTTATTATCATGTTTTTCAATGTTTAATGGCATGCTTGTTTTACTCTCTCTCCCTAATGATACAGATACACTCTCCTCATGTTGGTAACTTGATATTATCACATAATAATAAATCCAATCAGAGGTTTCGATTAGTAGGTTTTTTTTTTTGGCAATGACAACAAATTTCTTTGGTAGTGAATCTTAATAATACAACCAACAGCATTTTTTGCAGTACAGTCCTCACTGTAACTGGAATACGTCTCTTAGTAAACATGGGGGACCATTAATTGCTATATACTAGTCTTCATCAACTAATATCTTTGAGGGTGTAAAATGCTATAGGATGCATAACCATATAAATTATATAATACTTCTTGTTATAGAGACAGTTAAAAGTCTGGAAGAAGACAAGTTTCCATTCTATATATATGTTGTACAGAAATCTCTCTTCCATTACATTAACTGCGTAGTTTCTTTCATTCTATTTTTTGTTAGTTAGTTGCTAGACTTGAATAAAGAGAACAGTGACTTCTTAATGAAGAGGGACACCATGCTTCTTAATGAAGAGAACAGTCCCTTTAAATGTCACCACTCACTTAGAGTGACCACCCTTTTTACTAACACCTTTTCATGCCTCAAAGGTCATTCATGCGAGAGTTCTAACCAAAAAGTTGCTTCTAGCACAAACAACTTGAGTTTAATTAGGAAACCCAAGTGTTGAAATACTGGAAGCCTGTTACTACTGTATTGGCAGGGTGCTAGCCAGGGATTTCCCCTTTTTTCTACCACTATATGATTTAATAGAGAAGTACTTACCATTAATTCTAGAGATAGTGGAGCCAGAGACTAAGGTTAGAGTTTTGGACTATGGTTCAACAGTGGCACTTGTTCCCCAAGGAACAAACATGGTTTCAGGAATAGAACATGGCTATAGTTTCCATGTTGTTGGTTATGGGTTTGGGAAATTTGACAAACTCATGGACGCCACAAAATACAATCTCATTGACCCTCAACTTCCAAATACAGTGCCATTGCCTAACTGTTCTTCATGCTAATTCTTTTTTATCTAAGTTTCCTTTGACAATTGATTCTGCTCTTTATGCTAGGAGTTTGGTTCATGCACTTCCCCTGAACCGTCACCTCTCAGGGGGCATGGGAACACTTTCCATTGTGAAGAATCATAAGGGTTTGGAAAGAAAATTGCTACCTCCACCATTGGAGATGCTTACCTGCAGGTTGGAGAAAATTTTGGATTGTAGTATAACTTGCTCAATGTGGTAAGCGCAAATTTAAAGTTTTAAGTTTTAACTTATGTTATGGGATGTTATTCGCTTAGAAAAAAGCTATGTTTACGAGTGTATTGAATGTAATTGAATCCAGTTTTCCAATTTTTGTCTTTGCATTGCACTTTATTATAGCCATCCATGTGATGTCTTTTCTATGTACAATATTTAATCTTATTACACGTGCGTAGACAAGATTGGATCTCATATTTGTGTAATGTGCATTGACTTTAGCATGTCACGCTCCTAGAAATTTCACAAAAAGATGGTAATTGAAAGTAATGCTCTTAGATAAAATTTAAAAGGAAACAATAGTATTTTCTTATAAGGTAATTTATAATTTTTATAAGCATTAATCTTATTTTATTTTTATATTTTATCACCATTAAAGATTGTAAAAATATGTATTTTTTTGTTATTGAATAATGAAATCATACAAAAGAGTAGCATGTCAATGCTTATCAACATTTCAACCATACTATAAATAGCATATCAATGATGACCATCGTCGTCATCCATCATACAACATCTACATATATCATCACATATTGAAATACACATACACATTACTCTTCATACATCATACAACATACAATAGTGTCAAATACTTTATTTATGTTCACCAATCAACTCACAAGTCAACATATAAACATAATACAACTCGCGCTTAGTGAAACTTAACTCATGTTCAACACCATTGAGGTAATGGACTCTCTGTCTCGCCCACACCCGACGCCACCTAACATGACTAAAAGGTAGGGAACCCCTGGGACCTCACGATTGGCATGGTAAAACTTATGCCTAGCCTCATATTAGGCACAGAGTCTTTGTTTGACTCATGCCTAGCGTCACCCCAATGGCATCCAACGTCGTCTAGACAAAGAGCCTTTACCTTGATTATGCTTGGTGCCACCCAATTTGGAGCCTAACATTACTAAGTTAGAGACTTTTTAATACTCTCACATTCGATGTCATTCAAACCATATTTGACACCATCCCAACTCGAGATGAGTCTCTCTCCTTACACTTGGCATCATTGATCTTGTGTTTAACGTGAACGAGATAGAGAGCTTTAGTTAGAATTGCTTCTGACGCCATGAAGACGCACCTGATGCGATATCAGAAATTTGTAAATGCAAACTTAAAAAATTGTCTCAATCCACCTGAAATCCAAAACTTTCCAACAGGCAACATAAGATATCAAAGACATCAATTCTCAACTATTTACAACCAAAATGGCACATGCAACCAAGATTATGATCAAATCATCAAGTTCTCTCAACTTGTATCATAAGGACAAACCTCAACCTTTCATCATTCAACTAGAATCCAACCAACATAATTATCATTTAATGACAATTTATCAACATGCAACTCAAACCAAAAGAACCAAACAAATTTCTAGCTTCCCTTACCTTAACTCTAAGCCCAACCGAGAAAAATAACATTTTTCCTCTAGTCTTATGTTCACAATACAACCTGTTAAGTCAAAAGGTAATCCCCCAATATTTAGAGTTTTAATGCTAACAAATAAAGCATTTATATATAGAAGAAATGTCTACGAAAACGTCTTTGAAATGTGTCTTTTAAAGACTTATCATATGAAGTGTAAGGCGAGACAAAGCATGTATTCTATCTCATTTGGATTAAATATTTTTTATTTATTGAAACTAATGACAAAGTTTGCTTTGAATGTTTCATTCTTTAACAGATTGAATCAAAAAAACCATCTTAGAATTCATAAATCTATTAAAGAGAAGAACCATGTTTTTCATCAAAACCAAATTTCTAAAATCATAGAGAAAAGCAGATAAAGTCACTACAATAGTTGTTTTCCATTGACATTACTTCTGCAAGCTCCATTTGGTATGGAAAGTTGATACGTAGCCTCCTTAATCATATAAGAAGTACTATATGGTGAAATACATTTAATGTTCGCATTAAATGTATCCTAGTTCTGTAATTTGTAAACAGGGTGGAGTAGCATAACACTATCTGTAACTTTTTCTATTTCTCAACATTTCTGTATTTGGGTTTGGCACCCCTAGTGCCTCCTTAATACAAATTTCTCTTAGCTGATCAAAAAAAAAAAATGTGTCAAATGGTTACTTGTTACCAAAAGAAAAGACAATAAAGACAAACGAAACAAACTTGTGAACTGGAGAGACACAATTTACTAGAGAGACAATGTAGACACAATTTACTAGAGAGACCATATAGACACAATTTACTAGAGAGACACTAATTGTAATGCATTTGTACAAAAACACTCTTTGAAAATCTATTCTTTATTTTATACATTTTTTGCTTTGTAATCAGTTGTACAACATCTAAGTGAGACGAATACAACATTTGAGTAACCTTTATAATCATTATTATAAGGTTGAGCTTGAAGAGACTTGTTGATAGAAGAATACTTGGATTAAGTCTAGAGAAGCTTGTTGTTAAAAGAATATTTGGATAGTGGCTTGAAGATATTAGTTAAAGAACACTTTTTGTAAAGCCAAAAGTGGCTTGGAAAAGAACACTTGTAACTTTGAGAAAGTTAGTAAAACTCAATCTAGTTGGATTGAGGACTAGACATAATGTTTGTATTTGAGATGAATTAGTATAAAAATACTCAATGTTCCATATGTTCTTTTGATTGCTCTTCTAGCACTTCGTCTATTGTAGATACTACTTCAATCTCTTACAAAAAGTGAGTTTTTGATATTTACTATTCAACCCCCCTTTATAGTGACTATCTTTTCCCCACATAGCTCAACACGATATGTTTCATGCATAGTACAACACAACTCAACACAGCATGCCTCATGCACCTCACAATAGAGCTTAACACAACATGCCTCATGCACCTCACAACCCAACTCAACATCATGCATCTTATCAACATAATTCAACACTACAACCTGTGTCATGCATATCATGACACAGTACTACAAAACAACATATTTCTCATGCTTTTACGACACAACACACAACATCTTAATCATATTCATTAAGCATTCTCACGTCCAATATGATCATCTCGTGCCTGACATCCATGCTTGGCGTCATTCACCCTACGTTAGGCATTAGTGAGATAGAGGGCCTCTAGCTCACTCATGCCCAACATCAATCCTCTTATACCTGACGAAAATGAGATAGAGTGTCTCTATGTAATCCATGCCAAATATTACTAATTTTGTGCTCGATGTCACCAAGGCAGAGAGCCTATGAACTACTCACGCCCAATGCCACTCATCTTGCACCTCAAGTCAATAAGTCAAAGAGCTCCTACTACAATCATGTATAGCGCCTCTTGTCCCACATCCGACATAACCAACTCAGAGAACTCCTACTAGAATCACACTTGAGGCTACTCATCCTATGCCAGCACCAATAAGGCAGAGAGCTTCTAACTTGCATTACACCTGATGTCATGAAGTTGCACTCGATGCAAAGTTAATTTTTGCACCCAGCAGCAATTTGGCTCAAACCAATAATAATCTAACTTTAATCTAAATGCAACTCTCAATTCAGCACTCATACATCACAAACACCTCAAAATTATCAAAAGGAACAACATGCAACCATAAGAGATCACAATTCATCAAATTCCTTCTCATTCTATTCAAGAACAACAAAAATACCAAGATTAAAAAATCAATCCTCTTCAAATTCAACAATTAAAACCACCAATGGGAAAAACATCTAAAAATTAGCACATGTAACTCAACAAGTTTAATCTACAAACTTCTCTTACCTCGAATCTTATAGAGAAGAAGAAGAAAAGGAAGAATCAACAGAGAACATGACCTCTTAGTTCCCATTGTATAGCAACTACAAGCCTCTAATTCCCATCTCTCAGGTTCGAAGTCAGAAGGAAAAAAGATCTCCTTTTGCTCTAGAGTTTGTCTTTCTAAAATCTCTCTAAAGTTCTTTAAGATATGAATTTACGAAATTCAAATCTTAAAAAAATCTTATACTTTTTCTTAAACTTAATCAACTTTGACATCAACTCAAAATAACTCCCAAACAACTAAACTCATAAGAATTTCTTAATTCTTAGAGTTTTAAAACATTAAAACAACATATCACATAAATCACTTACTTAATAAAATTAAACAAGTAATAATTTAATACACAATGCTATAATGAATATTAAACTTAAATATTATATTTTCTATAGTTTTTAATTATTTTATTAAAAATATTTTTCATCTAATATAATAATTCAAATAATTACTTAAAATTATATATATATATATATATATATAAATCATTATCATGTATATATTTATAAAAAACATTTGACATATACAATTAAAATATAGGATAATAAAAATAGTCACTAAATATTATCGTTTCTGGTATTTTTTATAAAAAATTAAGTTATAGTGTATTTTTAAACTATAACTTATTTTTTAATTAAAAGAAAGACTAGAGATGGTATAATAAAAATCTTATATTTTTATTCTTTCAAATATAAATTTAGGTAAATTTATTTTTAGTTGTTCAAATTTAAAATTAATCTTTTAAAGAAATTTAATATCAAAAACCTTTGTTTTAATTTTTTGTTCATATGTTATTAATAATTTTATCTAACAAAACTCATTTATCATATGTCTTACAAAACTTACACTTATTAGTATCATGATCAATGAAAATAACACATTAAAGTCAACTTATATTACACATTTGTCATAATCTGTATTTTCTAAAGTATTTACTTGTTATAAAAAATAATGAGATTCACATTTGATTATTACTCTGAGTGTATTATAATAAATACTTTAATAAAATATTTTATGATATAAATTCTATTATGAAAACTATTAAAATAAATTTATTTTAATGAAGAATCAAACTCTAAATTGAATGAATAATGTGATGATTGATTTTTGAGAAACAAGAAGAAAAAAAACTCATTGCCTAAAGCTGAATAGAGATCCTCCAACTTCAGAAAACAAAACACATAATAATTAAAATTCAAAGAAATTAAAACATGAGAAAAAGTAAAAAGTTTTTAGAAAATATATCAAATCATAGATCATATCAAGAAATTCAACTATTTTTTAACCGATGAAGCGAAAAAAAGTCAGAAGCGCAAATAATATTAAATCGTCGCCAAGAAATTCCAAAAAAAAAAATCAAATTCTAAATTGAACGTATCCTATGGTGATTGTTTTTTGAGGAATAAGAAAGTACTCATTGCCAAGTAAAAAATAGTCATGTGGACATGTGGTGTTCGAAAGACTCAATAAATTATATATATATATATATAAAGAGAGTCACAATCCGTTGTTATTCTGTTTAAGTCTAAAAATTTATAACAAATTTTACATTTTTAATAAAAATAATATAAATTTAATTGATTCAATTATTAAATTATGTAATATTATATTTAAAATTATATATAAAAAAAATATTTACACATAATATAAATATTATATGTTAAAGTAAAAAAAATATAATAAATTCTAAAATCATTTTGAAATTGCATATAATTTGATGTAAATGATTTTAATTATAATATTGGAATATAATATCACATTCATCACCGATTATTATTTTCTTTATATTATTGTGGGTTACACTTTTCTATTTTGTTAATATATTTTTTTATTGAGTGTTTTAACATATATAATACTGTTTACAATGTTCTTAATTCAATTTAACGTATTGAGTTTTATCTCAATAATTTTTATTTTTAAAAAAAATATTATTCAACAATATATAATGATTTAAATACTTTATCTTTTATAGTTTTAATTTAATTAATTGATAAAATATATTATTTTGAAAATCATCATTAAAATAAAACTTAATTAAGTGAGTTTTGACATTTTTAAAACTAAAATTACAATATCTTTATTTTATTTTAGACTTGTGTTTTTTTTATCTATCAAGTAGTATATTCAATTTCAATCTCCAAAACTTTAATTAAACAACTTTATTCAAAGTATCACAATTTAAAATTTTAATTATTTTAAAATTGTATGTTATACATATTATATTTTAAAATTATACAGTTGTTAATATATATA